GTTGTGGTCAGTGAGGTTATGTGATTGTTTATCACTTGGCTTATCAGTCAATCAAGTAAATTTTAGTATCATGAAAAGTCTACCTGAAAAAGTGGAAGTGAATGTTTATTTTTGTGGCAGTAGTCATAGAATAAAGCGTAAGCTGCGGTCTAACTTTGTTTAAAGTCACACATGGTGCAGTAAAAGAGATTAAGACAGTCTCGCGATGAGTGCTGTACATGCATCTACAATCTTATTCCGTTTCAAACATTTCTTTATTTTTATCCTATTTATCTTACTGTTATCTTTTTTCTCATTTCTTTTACCAACTAACTTAGAAGTATTTAAAGGACAGACCACAGAACAATTTATAACAGGTAGTTTAGATAATCTACCGAAAGTTGTGTTGCAGTCCAACTCAGTCGTCACAACTGGTCGAAATAACAAATGCAACTATTACAATTGTTTCAATGTTTACCGTTGCGGATTCGGAGGAAGTGGGCACATTCATGTGTATGTTTATCCCCTGAAAAAATATGTTGATGCCCAAGGAAATGATATTGGTATCCCCTTATCGAAGGAGTATTTTGCCTTGCTAAAAGCCATTGTCGGCAGTAAATACTACACTCCTCATTCTGAGAAGGCATGCGTCTTCATACCATCGATTGACACTTTGAATCAAAATAAAATCAACTTGAAGCAGACGTCCCAGGCTCTGGCGAAGCTGCCATTGTGAGTATATTTAAGAATCCATTTTCCTATTTAGCAATTTTTGCGGAGGGGGAAGGTTCTTTTCCATGCAAGAATTTTTAGAAAATTTTATCCTACACAAGCAAAAGAACCCTCCTTAGAACTCTACCACTTCCCTCCTACTTAGGTATCTATATTAACAACACCAATTGAAACTGAAATTTTAGAGGTCATTTAAGAAGAAATACTGTTATGGAGTGTGGAATGGCCTCTTGTCTGTTGAGCGAGAGCTGTGGCATGTGGTGTTGCATTGAGTCAGGTATTAGGTGTAAATTTTCCAACAGCGTTTATGATGATCGGGGAGCATCTGTAGACAATTTTTGGGGAATTCTAAAAACCATTGGTAATAAATGAAAAGCACCCGTCTATCAACTAGACTGGAACTATTTTCTGTGGTACACATCAAATTATAAATCAAGTGCAGCCACTTCTGACCCCCATGTTGTGACGTATGCTTCTTGGCCCTCCCATCAAAAGAATATCTTCTCTGATATTTTTGTCCTGCAGCTGAATAATCTCTTAAATATTGTTTTTTTTTTTGTGTGAAAATGCAGTTGGAATGGTGGTGAAAACCATCTACTTTTCAACATGATCCCCGGAGTTATGCCTGATTATAATACAGTAACAGATCTAGCTATTGGAAATGCCATGCTTGCTGGTGCCGGTTTTGATTCTTGGACCTACCGAGTTGGTTATGACTTATCCATCCCAGTTTTCAGTCCCTTGGCTGCTACCATTAAGCTACACTCATCATCACATCAAAGGCAAGTCTGCTCATTCATGAATTTTCTTTTTTTTTAGTGTCCTTGCCAAATTTCCTGACCAATTTCTGGAATGAGTTGAAGACCCGCCACCTAGATTTAGTTTCAATGCTAAAATGTAGACAGCAGGTCTTTTAACGCCCAAGAAGTTTCCCAAGATATTTGGTGAGAATTGTGAAATCAAAATCAAAATTATGTACTGAAGCGATTGGAAAATCATGATTGCACGTTTTTTCTCTCCGCGATTAATGACTTCTAAACCTACCTCAACTTAACTTTACCGAATCCTAGCCTAATCCAACGGTAATCCAACCTAGCAGCACATGAAGCTTGCGGTTCTAGTCAATGTTCTTTAATTATCATTTCAAGTGACTCATGGCAAATATTCAAGTATTGGTCCAAACTAACTCACTGACTACAAATTGGTTTCAATGATTTAAACTTTAACAAACTTAACAATAGCAAAATAATGAATGTAACATAAAGATTAGCTAACAATAACTATCAATAAGTAATGGTAATATTTAAGAGTAATTTCAGATGTAATCAGTAGGTTGAAGGCAGATTTGAACTCCCAACCCATTGATCTATCAACCTTTGCGTTAATAATGGGCCACCAAACGGATTTGGAGCCAGAATGAAGTTTCATGTTTTCTCTTCAAATTCTTACTCAGAAAACGATTCTCATGATGGAAAGTTTAGAAATCAACTCTTGTGGGTACGATATACCAACAATTATTTTTATCATTGATAAAATAGAAGCTATAAATTATACAAATGACATTATTTGTATTTTTCTCATTTATCTGACTAATGTTAACTCTAATCACTTGTATTTTGTACAAGAGTTGATTTCCAGACTTCCCTTGCTGTGATTTGTTTTCATCATGCAATTTCAAAGGGAAAACATGTTGCGCAGTGCTGTAAATCATACCTTGTCCAGATGCTCATAGCTCCAGCAATGTGTTCTGATTCTCAGATGAGGCGAAAACCATTTAAAATGATAATTCTCTCTCCTATGAGTTTATCTAGTTTAACTATTTTTGTTCACAGACCTTGGCTAATGATATCCTCTCAGCTGAACATCCATCCTGATTTCACAAATGAGCTTTTAAATTTGGCCTCAGTTCATTCAAATTTGTACATTATGGAATCATGTGCTGATCCAACCAGAGTGAATATACGATGCCATCAAAACATCCCGTACAATTATCCAAATGTTCTAAAGGTAAGTTTTTTTATTTTGCTCTCTTCTTTTGGGGTAAGATTATTCAACCAGAAATGACTGAATTAGAATTAGCTACCTTCTGACCCTCTTTTTTTCAAAGATCTATGAGGATTTGATTTTTGGAGAAATGAGCGAGTACAAATGTTCAGATGAATGCTTGGCATACATATAAAAGGTAATGTTGGGAAGTTTCCAAATTTATCTCACTTGACATTTAAAAATGACCTGACACCTTTGTTTGGGTGTTTTAGAAAAATTCATCTAAATGGTCTCACTTGAATTACCTGTACATATTAATTTTTGCCCATCGCTGATAGAAAAGGATAGATATTTGCAATGCACCGATGTGAAATCTTGCATTATGGAAGACAAATATCTGAAAACAAATCTAGTACATAGTTGAATTGAACTTCTCTCTGGATATAACCTAGCATTCAAATTTTACTCCTTTCAAACATAGTTCTCGTGAATATGCAGATATCTGAATCACTTTTCCTTTCGAGAAACACATCTCAAATAATGCCTGCGATGATAGAGTCAGTTTTTCCTGGAACTTGCTGTGAATCCATTGTAAATCTTTCACTTTTTCATGTCATATCTTTAACTCTACCAGCATCTCATGTTTTAGCATGTAAGTGTATGAAGAGAACATTAGATTTTTAAAAAATAACGTCTTTGTATTTTTTCATTGTAGAAAGCTGTATTTTGTTTAATCCTGCGGGGAGCCAGGCTTGGGCAAACTACTCTTCATGATGCGTTGGCCGCTGGATGTATCCCTATAATCGTTGCTGATACTTATGTCATGCCATTTTCAGAGGTTATTGACTGGAAAAGGTAGGTTTTTAAGTTTTATTGCACAGTCCATAAACTTTGACTGTGCATGTATGAACCCCAACATGATTTATCTCAGCAATATTGTTACCTTAAGGTTTTAAGAAAGGTGGCTTCAAATGTGACTGTTTTTTGTTGTCATTTTTAATTCCTGTTCAGTGATTTATATATCTTTTCTCTTGAATGATTTTTTTGAGCATGAAAACATCAATGAAGAAAGTCAAGTACATAAAAATTTGTACCAAAACTTTAATTTTCAACATCACTGTAAACTAATTTATTTTTTTCTTTATTTTTCTGGCTTTAGAAAAGTTTTTAAACATAATTGAGTCTTACATCTGGACATACATTTTCCTTCTCCTCCCAGTTTTTGCAATTGAAAACATAGGTCTATTTTTACACATGGAAGAGGCAATTATTATTCTTATAGAGTAGCTTTGAGGTAGTATAAAAGTAATCATCATGTAGCATTTGTTTGACAAAGTCAGTCAAAATTTATCACCTTTTATCTTATTTCTTTCCATATTTTACTTTGTAAGAGGAAACTGTACAGTATTCCTCCTTGAATTGCGTTCATTTAATTTTTATCATTTGAAGGAAATTGGCAGAAAATTTCCAAGCATCATGTTGCTTTGAGTTTTTGATTCAAAACAATTGAACATGAAAGGAAATCAAGCTAAATGAAATGCTGTCTGGCTGATTCTGCCGAAAGACATTTTAAATTTAGCCTGCTCTGGGTGACATCATTCTCCACTGAAATGTCCTTTTCTCATGAAGGTTCAATAGAATAACATCTTAGAACTCTCAAAAATAATTTATGTGATCAACAGGGCATCTTCTGAGTATTTTTTTGCTTCTATACCTAGCTCTTACTTTTCAGAGCGGCCATTTTTGTGCAAGAAGGAAATTTAAACTCTGTGTATGATGTAATGCAGAAGGTTTCAGAGGAGAGACGTGTTGAAATGTCACAGCAAGTCAGGTGGTTGTACAAGCGCTATTTTGTCAGCATTGAAGTCATGGCTCTGACTGCACTCGACATCATAAACGAAAGAGTCTTCCCGGAAAACATGCTTTTCTACGAGGACTGGAATATCCCGTCACTAATAGTAAGTACCTATTGATCCTTTAGGTGCTCTTATTTTTATGGTAAATGATGGTCTGATTAATGGGCTTCCATATGCAGTTTGTTCTACCCATCCGCTGTTTCAAAAATTGACTCCAGCTCTCCGCTATTCCCTCATTGATGTTAAACAGAGATAAATTTAGAAATTAGTTAAAAGTACCAGACCAGAACAAAAAAAAAAAAAAAAACCCCTCTGACTAGTGAGTGATTTTTCAATATTTTAATAATATTTTTTTGTCCAAACAGAGATGTTAGTAATAGCTTGTGCAAAGGACTTCTGTTCCACCTCATGGCTAACATGGCCCAGGTTGAATTAGCTGGTTTTTTTATATGATTTAAATCTTGATATATTGATCAGAAGTGTCAAAGGGAGTTTTCCTTTATCTGGACATTTTACCCTCTCGTCCACCTAGCTTTTACGGAATGAGGGGCCCAAGTTGGTTCTTTGATGTATAATCGATTTTTCTCATATCCTGGGTTCAGTTTTTACTCTTTTGATTTTGTATGTATTGCTGAGCAATTTTGTTCACCTTCCTAAACTGCTGAGTCCAGTTCCAAAATCTGAAGCATGCTGTCTTGTTGTGGGGAGGGGAGGGGGGGGGCACCACAGACAGATTCAGTTTTACTATGAAATTCTGAAAACCAAAATTTTAGTGCAAATGGCAGCTTACATTCAAAGTAACTGAACAGGACAAGTTAGTCTTGCAAAACATCTACTGTGCTAACTAAAATCACAGTTTTTAAAAATAGTATGCAAAGCTATGCCATGTACTCAAATGATTGAAATGTAACTTCATTAAATCTTATTCATGTTCTCAGCCTGGATCTCGTTCTCCTCTTTTTTTGCCTGTGACGGCTTCACGATCGATGGGATTCACTGCTGTAATTCTTATGTACGATAGGATCAGTAGCTTATTCACTCTCATTCAGAAACTTGCAACAGTTCCAAGTTTAAGCAAAATCCTTGTCATTTGGAATCATCAGCATAAACCACCTCCCCCTGGTATGTATACAAAGCGTTTACTAAGTTTGAAATAATGTCTAACCCTTTAACTCAAAACATCTGGTCTTATTTGTTGGTGGAGTTGGTATCAATGTTTATGATATTTTAATATTTTTTCCATAAATTAAGTTCTCATCAGTTATTTAACAAGTAAGTAGTGTGACGAAACGTTCATTTATTACTTTTTTTCTGATATTTTTGTATTATTGCACAGTTGAACATAAAATAACCCTAGAAAGTCCTCAGAAAATGTGTACGAAAGTTTCTTTGAAGTTGTTGACAGTACTTGCATAACTCAATGAAAACTTCTTACAAGGCCTCGATTTTTTTTTTTTTTTTTATTATTTTTTAAAGCTGCCATGGTCTATGTAATAACCTATGCCTTTTTAAATTTGCAGAATCAGCTTGGCCAAAAATTATGAAGCCCCTGAAAGTGATACAAACACCGGAGAACAAACTTTCAAATCGGTTCTACCCATATGATGAAATAGAGACAGAAGCTATTCTGAGCATTGATGATGACATTGTCATGATGACAAATGATGAGTTAGAGTTTGGTTTTGAGGTTTGGCGTGAGTTTCCTGATAGACTTGTTGGGTTTCCTTCTCGCTTGCATGTCTGGGACAATGTGACAGGACACTGGAAATACGAGTCAGAATGGACAAACAATATTTCTATGGTGCTGACTGGTGTCTCCTTCTATCATAAGGTATTATTTTGTTTCTAATTTTTTATAGGCACTGAATGATTTTAGGACTCGAAACACTCAAGTGGAATTCTGCTTTTTAAATCATCTACCTCCAATAGATCACTTGACAATGTAAGATTTAGACTCCTCGGTGAGGAATTGACCTTTGTACACACTAGTTTCAAATTGCCAGCTTGCTAAAAACCCATAGTCAGCAAAGGTCAAATTAGCCATCAAAAACAACTTACACGAAAGAAAAATAACTAGAACTTGGTTCTTAACTCACTTTATCTTTATGAAGAGGGTTTTCCTGTCTCATTGTGAGCAAACAATTGAGTTATTTTATAGTTGAAAATGGTATTTTTTCGAAGATTCTGTCTCAGATAAAAATGTATTTTTCATTTTATGCATAGAGACCAATTCCTGGACTTCTAGACAGTATACTTTGTGAAAGCACTGGCAAATGCGCTACTGTATAACAAAGAAAAAATTTGAATTCTCCACCATTGTTCATGTTAAAAGAATGGCAATGATGTTTGCTAGATAGGTATACACTAGGGAACAGTCAAAAAGGGCCCACTTATCGGAAGCAGGCTCTACTGGAATTTTTAAAACTTATTTGATTCGTTTTTTACTGCAAATTAGACTGTCACATTCTTTGAAAACGGTCTTCATGTTTCAATGCGAGGACTGCAAAAAGGTAACTTATTTGTCAATTTAAATAATTTTGGGCAATTGTTGGTCAGAAAATTTCGTAATAATATTTTGTCAGAAAGCCCATGAACTAATTATTCTTATTTTTCTTTAAGACATAATCTTGATCTGTATCAACCATTTCAATTTTTTTCCTTACAGTATTGGAATTATATGTACACCAAAGTACTCCCAAAGTCTGTCCGTAACTGGGTGGATGATCACATGAACTGTGAAGATATTGCAATGAATTTCCTCGTTGCTAATGTTACAAACAAGGCCCCTATCAAAGTAAGTTTGAAAACCTTTTTTCTCTTTTTCTCTTAGATGAAAGCAAAAGAAGCCTCTTGTGCTAAAACTCGAGATTTAATGTATCATGCAAAAAATCTTTTTTGTATAAATGGCACAGAAAAATTCGTTTAATGGCGAAAATGTCCTCCTACTTTAAAATTAAACCGAATTCCATGTTTTCACAGTGGAAATTAAAGGAAGAGGGCTGAAACCAAGTGCTCACCTATTGTTTCAAATTGTAAAGCAGAGATAGTTTTCTAGTGGTTTGCAAATGACCATCATCTAGTCTGTGGTAAAAGAAAGCAAAACCTCTATTTTTATTGTTCCTTTTTTAAGTTCATTCACTTGGATTTTATAGCACTGTCTCTTTAATACAGCCTTTTGAGAAGCACTCATTTAAAAGTTCGAAATGATGTCATGACAAAAGGAGTGGACCAATTGATCAAACCAAAGGTAATTATTATACTCTATCTGGTAAAGTTTTGAAATCTATAGGTTGTTTGAAAAAAGAAAAAAAAGTTTTTAAGAAGTAGGTACGCATATTTTCCAGCATGTTCCTCAATTATTATGGCAATTTTTACAGGTGACGCCACGGAAGAAATTTAAGTGCCCACAATGTACTAGCACTGAAATGTTATCTGCTGATCTGAGTCACATGATAGAGCGCTCTCACTGCATTGATCGATTTACCACTGAATTTGGTAGGATGCCTTTGCTCTCCATAGAATTTCGTGCTGATCCAGTTCTCTACAAAGACAACATTCCTGAAAAACTGAAACGATTCAGCAATATTGGTAGCTTGTAATTTAATTCAGGTGTCGCCAACCCTTGGATGGTTGCTCAATTTTGGAGGGCTGCATCAGGTCAAGCAGTAGAATGGATGAGGAGCTAATCGACTGGCCCCCTCTTCCGTCTGGCTCTTCCTTTAGAATCTTGTTGTAAAGACCCGATGATTTGCGATCTCTATTATATGCCGAAACGGCTTATCTTGGGTAGATCGGAGCCGAAGAGATGCCTTCAAGAGCCTAGTGGCAAGTGAAAGGTGGTTTCTGCAGAGGTGTCGAGAAAGGAATATTTCAAGGATTGCGAAAAAAGTTATTTTCAGCAACAATGGAGGTTGTTCGTTAGGATCATAGCAGTTTGCCTTATTTTAATCCCTCTTAACGAGGATTCCATGCTCCCCATCAAACAAGGAATTTCCTTACAGAGGTATATTAGAGTGATTATCTTGGAAGCAGAAGAAAATTATATCAGAGTAATATTATGTAACATGCAAGGAAAGTGCCTAAGCATGGATCATTTTGCAGAGTTGCAGTTTGTATTAAGGAACCTCATACCAAATAATCACAAAACTTAGCTGCGGGGTGATCATTGAAATGACATCGACTCTATGTCGCCGCTTTGTCATGCTGCACAATCGACTGAGTGGCACTTAGTTGATTGTGCGACACGACAAAGCGGTGACATAGAGTCGATATCATTTCAATAATCTCCCTGCTGGTGCCTACTTCTTTGGTTTCATTTGCATAATATCTCAGTGAGGTAAAAACTTGGATATCGTCGAAAAATTAGATAGAAAGACAGTTTATTTAGACATTTTCACTCAACTTGATGTATTGAAATATAATACAAGAAAATGATGAAAACTGCACAGCTGTATAAAAGACTTTTGATACTCAGTAAATCATTATCATTGATATTTTTACGCACATTTAAGAAGAGTTTAAGAAGAAGGGCCCATGAAACACATGTGAGTTTGTGTCTCCTAACTGTCTTGGCTAGACAAGCAAGTAGCAAAGGTCCCAGCTACTCTGTCACATTTGTCCAAATAGTTGCTGCTCAGAGAAACAAGCTCACCTGGACTTTCATGGGCTCCTCTTCTAGAGCCCTCTTCATTTGTAGAGGATTTGATCTCTAGCAATTTAGAAGAACAGAAATGTGTAGTTAATGACCAAAGAACTGTAATTACATTTTTACTAATTCAGTATTTCGAAGGAAACCCATGACAGTTCCATATAATATATTCTGCAATTTTAAGAACTCGGTATCTTTGGTATGATATTAGGTATCGTATAATGACCAATTTATTTTACTCACATGGATATACCCTAAGTATGTCAAGAATGCGAATTACTCGATTTCTCCAAAATTGTTAATTACGTTTCTTTAGCTTTAAACTACAAAAAATAGGTCAGCAATTTTCTTTTATTCGCTTTTATCACTTCTAAGCACATCTGTGATCATTCAGTGCTAGAAAATCGTATAGGAAATGAATGTAATGTGCAAACCAGTGTTGAAGGATGACGCTCATAATATACATATTGTGATTTTCATTTAAATCGTAGAAGTTGAGAATGACTACTGTAACAATGTAGTTGATTACAAAGCTATACTTTTAGTGAAAAGAGCTCGCAAAAGCTAGAAATAGATTATGAAAAAACTTTTATCCCTATGATCAAAGCTTTAAGTGAGAGGGTTTTTTTTTTTCTTTTCCCCTTTTTTCCTATGTTTTTCTTTTGAAACAGCACAATTTTTTTATTTCAACATTTTGATGTTCTCTTTGAATAGCTTAGCGTAGATCTCAACAATGACATTATCAAGTGACAACAGTTGGATTCGTCACGAATTTTTCTGCAAACTTAGAATAAAGAAAGGAAGCAAGATCTCTACAGATAAATCTTTCAATTTTTGTTTTTATTTAATAAACATGGATTGGATTGATGAGCAGTGATATAGATATTGGCAACAATTTTAGAAATTCCATGCTGCATTTAATTTAGGGTAAAGTACATAAGGTTATACCACAAAAAAAAGTCAGAGAATAATTTAAATTTGGTCTGGAGAATGTCACAAAGTGAAGGAATTTTTTTTTTCAGTATTGGCTAAGAACTTAGGTCAAACTTCCTTACAGATTTTCTCTTTTGCTCACCTTTTGTTCAGAGTTTTGCTTCTAATTGAAGTCCATTTGGACAGAGTTTAACATCAGTGACACTTTCCACTGGTGTGCCGAGTTAACTGGGTGCTTTTTGGTGTCACAGTGGCCCCGGGAAATGCAGAGTTGCATCAAATTTTAAATTTTTAGTCCTCCACAAAACTCAATGTTAAGGACGAAGTTTCGTCACCACCTTTATGCACAAAAGATTTTAATTTTTTTTAAAATTTTTGGCAGCAGAAAACAAATATTTTATTGCAAAACTTTTCTCAAAATTCGACTGTGTGCGATCCTGTTAAACTCGATCCATTCCTGCAGAGGTTTGCCAAAATTTGTTTTGACCTCCTTCTTTTCATACTCTTTGTCTAGTCAATTACAGTGCCTTATACTTTTGTTATTATTCATTTTGTAAGTTCTCATGTAATTTTAACTGATCCTCATAAATTAGGTCTAAGTTATATTTATAAAAATTTATTAATTTTTATTCGATTCATGTGTGGAAAGTCATTTTTTACATTTTTGAATATATACATATCTGTTTAAATTCATGGCTTCAGTTTTATACTTCATTTTGTGAACTCCTACAGTTGGACGCATTTATGCTACAAGGAACCATGTGCATAGAGTTTGCATGCAACATAGTTCCTTTTTACATGAATACATCTGGTTGATAGTTAATGATATGGCTTTTAACGCGCCCTAAAAAAAACAATCCCCTAGTGGGAGTCACATTCCACAAGTATTTTGACCCCTTCCAATCATCCATGCAGGGCCGGATAAAGGGGGTGGCCTCATGGGTCGCGGCCCATGGCGGCAAATCTAAGGGGCGGCAAAAATTTGCAATTTTTTAAAGTGCAGGTATAAAAAAAAATCGGATCTATAAAAGCAAAAATTACAAACGAGAAAAGGCGACAAAATCTCTCATTCCCGGAGAGTATTGTAATTTCTAATTTTGTCGTCTCTTAGTGATACAAAAGAAAGCACCCTCAATAAGTCGAGTTAGAGAGGAGCCAAACACGCAATTTGCCCTAGAACGGCGCGACTTAAGAGAGAAATAATAACGAGGACTTGAGATGAAAAGGAGAAGCCCTTGGCTGGCGCGGCGATCGGCATGTAACACATATTAGCGCCTACAAGACTGCACGAATACATCACGCATTGCATCAAACACAGTGCGGTCACTGCGGTCAGCGTAAAACGGGTAGCGCCTACAAGAATGCATGAATACTTCACGCATTGCGCCAAACACAGTGCGGTCAGCGCAAAACGCATAGCGCCTACAAGACTGCTTGAATACTTCACGCATTGCGTCCAACACCGTGTGGTCTGCGCGGCGCGGCGGCGGAAGTTAAAATCATTGAACCACATTTATATTTGTTCTTTCTTAATTTTTTTGTTCATTTCTTATGATTGGAAGGCCTTGTCCACACAGAGATAGGTTTACGGAACTTAACTTTTGCTATTAGTGTTGACAGGGCTTTCCCAAAAAATGTGTTCAACACGAGTAAATGCGTCTTATGCACCCCTCCCCCGCTGACACGTTCATTTGATGGTTTTTATCGAGTTTCAAAACGAATGAGAGGGGGGCGGCAAAATACAGGCGGCGTATGGGCGGCAAGTAGGTGAATCCGGCCATGCATCCATGTCATACCACATATAACACGGAAAAACTCAGAGTATAAATGACGGCCTGTTCTTTCTGTAGTCTTCCTTTCAAAATGAGAAAAAAAAAGTCGCGCATTGAGTTTTTCATGAAGCTTGTTACTTACAAGAAGTCCACAAAGGTGGAAACATATTAAATTCAGAACAAATAGTGCCATCGTCGGCAAACGGATTTATAACATGTTTTCGCAAAATCTGCATTGTTTAACAACCATAAGTATCGAATGGTGAAACAGAAAATGTGTATCCCTGATTGCAACAATGTCAGCCTCTGCTAATATTTTATTTTTTAAAGTAAAACTAACTAACAATTTCTATTGAAATTATCTGTGAAATCTTTTCTTGATGAAAGTGAACCAAAGTTGGAGATTCTTAGATGTTACAACCGAGATTATACATTATTTTTTGTTTACCTAGCCATGCATAGACACATGCAATGGCACATTTCTTCTTAATGATCTTACACCTAAAAATAATCTTGAAAGTGGGGAACAGGTCAACCATACATGTAAGATGCTTTTGTATTTTTTAAATTCGTTTCTCTCAAAACTACGATTTTCGGCACGCCCTTTTACTGAGCATGCATTGCTGTGAAGTTTCACTTTTCAGGGCAGCATGCTATACATATAATATAGTCCAGTCAAATTAGCTCAAAAAAAGGGCAATCTGTGAAAATCACTATGTAGAGGGTTTCTTTGCAAAAATAAGTTGCAGTCGGCCACCAGAGCAACGTATCAAAAGTTTACCGAAATCGGCTGTTCGCTGAGGCCGCCATTTTGAAATAAGGGGGGCGGGGGTCCAAAATAAGCCGCCGGCGACCGGTTTTCGCTTATATCTTAAAAACAATCAATCCCACGGAAAAATATTACCTATTTGACTTCTTATAAAGATCATAACATTTCCTATAAGAAACACAATAAGTACATTTATTAATTTGTGACTTCCGGCAAGGCCGGATTTACCCACTTGCCGCCCATGGGCCGCCTGTATTTTGCCGCCCCCTTATTCTCATTCGTTTTGAAACATCAATAAAAACCATCAAGTAAACGTGCAGCGGGGAGGGGTGCGGGTGCATAAGACGCGTTTACTAGTGTTGGTCACATTTTTTGCAAAGCCCTGTCAACATTACTAGCAAAAGTTCACGGAACTTTGCGTGACAGTTAAGTTCCGTAAACCTATCTCTGTGTGGACAAGGCCTTCCATTCATAAGAAATGAACGATAAAATTATGAAAGAACAAACTGACCGCACTGTGTTTGGCGCAATGCGTGAAGCATTCCTGCAGTCTTGTAGGCGCTATGCGTGAAGCATTCCTACAGTCTTGTAGGCGCTATGCGTTTCATACCGACCGCTGCGCTGCGCTGCTGACCGTACTGTGTTTGACGCAATGCGTGAAGTATTCACGCAGTCTTGTAGGCGCTAATATGCGTTACATGCCGATCGACGCATCGAAGGCTTCTCCTTTTCATCTAAAGTCTTCGTCATCATTGCTCTCTGCCCCGCGCCGTTCCGGGCCAAATCGCGTGTTTGGATCCTCTCTTAACTCGACTAATTAAAGGTGCTGTCTTTTATATCACCGATAGACGACAAAATTAGAAATTACTATACTCTGAGGAAGTGGAGATTTTGTCGCCTTTTCTCGTTTGTAATTTTTTTTTTCTGAATCCGATATTTTTTTATACTTGCAATGAAAAAAATTGCAAAATTTGCCGCCCCCTAAATTTGCCGCCATATGGGCCACGGCCCATGTGGCCACCCCCTAGATCCGGCCCTGACTTCCGGTATGTATAAGATATCGCAGTAGTTCTCTGCGGCTAAGTCGAATTTTGCTTGAAATCACGCTTTTCCCACAAAATCTGCAATCATCTTAAAAACGGCGAGTCTGGGAAAAAAAATTGTTCTGACTGAAATGAAAAAGCATAAAACCTCTAACATAACAGTGCCTATTATTCTACTAAGGGTTCCATCCCTGGATCGCTGTGCGGTCCGACCCAGTGGCGGTTGCTGTATACGGTGAGTCTCGGCTTGGCCGCACTGCATCACGCCTCGGCATGGTTTATGTCGATTCTTTGACTAAGTTGAAGATATTTAGAAAACTAAATGGTTTTCTCAGATTATACTTCCAACTAATTGAGGACACCGCACCAAGAATAGCCTATAGGCGTATAGGTCGTTATTACGCCCATCTGCTTTTCGGATTCTACTTACCCTGGACTATAAGCTGTGGTAGCGATAGAATATAGATAGGTAACGGCTCGAGGTCGAAAAACCTTTTTTTTCCGAGTTAAGTCAGACCTCTGGATCGATGGGTGCAAGAACGACCTATAAACGGGCCTATAAACTTAAGGGCCTAAGGTGCTAGGTGCCCTTTCTTTACTCACTATCGATATTCTAACGATATACTATCGATATTGACAATTTTGCAGTCGTGAATACATAGCTGAAGTGCGCTCCAGCTAGAATTGTGTTTAGCAAATGGGTGGTTTTTATACGAGGATTAAAAATAAACAAGTGGTACGGAATATAACAAAAGAATATGAAGTATGCAAAACGATAATCCGGGTATCGGAACTTGGCTGTTTTGAAAACGCCTTCAAACGCGGCGTGATACCTCACACATTCCGGAGAGTTCAAATAGTTGTATCATTGCGCCTTAGAAATGCTACGAAAGATCACAATTGAAATATCCTTCATACACGCTGGGCTTGTCAATTTCCTTTGGCATTTTTGCAGTCATAAATGCATAGCTTAAGTGTGCTCCAGCTATATAAACAAGTGGTACGGAATATAACAAAAGAATGCGAAGTATGCAAAACGATAATCCGGGTATCGGAACTTGGCTGTTTTGAAAACGCCTTCAAATGCGGCGTGATACCTCACGCATTCCGGAGAGTTCTAATAGTTGTATCATTGCGCCGTAAGAATGTGACGGAAGGTTTAAATGGAGATAGCCTCCATGCACGCTGGGCTTGTCGATTTCCTTTGACATTTTTGCAGTGGTGAATGAATAACTGAAGTGCGCTCCAGCTAGAATTATGATGCTCGAAATGCAAACACCTGATTTACATACACAAATGAACCATGAAGCAGTGATTTGCATTATTTGATTGCTTTCGTGCATTACTAATGGGTGCGACTGTAAAGGGGAAGAAATTGATAATACAGTAATCTCTCTCCTCAGCGAGAACTCAAAGAACTGGCTGATTTCCTCGCAATGGAGAGATTTCTCATTCTAACGATAGTCGATCAGAAATAGACATCAATCTTCGACATCAATGACTCAATAGACTAAAATACAATTCAGTTGTGCAAAATCACTACAATTCCTGATCCGAGGATTGCAGACTCGAGGTGCACACCGGTCGGAAATGGTGTGGACCGCGATATTATTAACGAGTTTTCAAGCGCGCACTGTAGTGAACGCGCAATGCGTGAAGTATTCTCACACTCTTGTAGGCGCTGATGATGCGCTTCACGCCGACCAGCGACCGCACACAGTGCGGCGCACTGTGTTTGGCGCAATGCGTGAAGCATTTTAGCGGTCTTGTAGGCGCTATGTGTTTTGCTCCGACCAGCGCGGCAGCCGTACTAGGTATATGTTTGACGAAATTAGAAATGAATAGATTTGAAAGAAACTGTAGAAACAGAGGAGAGATAATAAGTTTGAAGAAAGGCTGGGTAAAATTGATGTACCGGTTCATACAGAGTACAGACAAAAATATTCGAATGAAGAGTCTATCGAAAATTAGGTAATAGGAGGAAGCAGAAGCTAAAACGACTAAATTTTCACCCGTGAAAAAGAGACTTACATCGGAGGATAATTTTGACGTAAAGAGACAGCGTTTATTTTGTCAGTAAAGAATTGCACTGAAAACTTTGGAAAGGAAATAAGGGCAGATTCGTGCATACAAGTGAATAAGATCTCGCCTATTTTATGGAGACTAATTTTGAACAGTGCGAAAGGAATTGTATCGTCGATTAGATTGGGAATAAGACCACAATAAGACGCAGTCGTTGAAATTTCAATTTTTTTATTCATTTTTTTAAAAATTTTCTCTCATAGATAACAAAAATATAGGTATTCAAACAATTAACACTTATCAATAAAAGAGAAGGTTGCTGTGCTTAAATTACGAAAAAAATTTCGGCAAGGAAGTACGTTACCTACTTTATTTACACAGCTACTAATGAAGAATGGGTTGGAAATGAATCTCAGTTTCTAAATCACTTATCTATAAAAATGTTTTTTAAAATTAGGGCGTGTGATTTTATTGTCTAATTATTATTAGGAGGGATTTCGCCTCTTAATAAATCTCTCTTTGATATTTAGCCAATGCACCATTACATTTACTTTCGTACATTCTTTGCTCTCTTTTGTCGTTTCACAATTTAAGAAACATTTCTATGAAAATAGTTAAACCGCTGTCGCAATGAAAACTAAGTGAAACACATCATACATCGAAGTGAAGTTCTTTGCCGAGCAGATACCTTTCTCTCATACTTTCAGAATACGTTTATGAAGGCATATTTGAATAATTAATCATACTTTCAACACAAAATCATTTCCTCATCAAATTTTTCTTCACTCAGCTTTTACAATTTTAATATAGTTAAAGTTATTGTTGTTTATTGCAAATTATCAAAAGTTTATTAATAAGATGAAAGTGTCGGAGGAAATTTTCAGAATGAATTCAGATTCAGAATTTTTACAATTATTCCAAAAATGTGTTGCTTATTTCGAGTGAAAATCGTCTCTAAGGATTACATGTGCGAAATGGAATGTAAGAACTCAAAATCAGTCATACTACCAGTCCAACATTGTCCAAAAACTAAAGAGCCCCAAGTACTTTTTCAGGGTGAACTCCCTGCTTTTGCCAAAATCGTAAGAATGTCACCAACTAATTACTTGATACCTTCCTGCGTGAGACTCTTAAAATATAATCGTTAAGTAGAGGGGAGGGGCTGAAATAATCTTTACGGAGTGGAGAATAAAGTACAATCAGTATGGTTCAACTTAAAAAGTATGTACAGTATAATTACCGTACCACTATGCACACCTACTTCATACTTTCAATAGAATTATTCAGCATACGCAGTAAATGGAAACACATTCGCATGTAAAGATTCAAAATGAACCAATGATTTTCAAAAAATGTGACGGTGATAAACAATCAATCACACAAACAGTAGGTACCTTGAATGACTGATAAAAAAGGTAAAAAATAAAAGTACAGAAAGTAGAAGAAAATACACCCCTAAAATAAAAATCAAGGTTTGGAATACATTAACTTACAATAAAAAATATGACTTCGTACAATCCTCCTTAAATTATTTCTTGCGCGTAGGAATTTAGCCCTTGTTTTTTTCTTAAATTGATCATAACTATGGCAAAAAAACTTTTTCCCATTTGCCATCGGAAAATTTACATTTATAAAGCTGAACATGTTTACAAGGTTAATAGAGTAATTTGATATTTTTTCTGGTTGATAATTTCTTTTCCCGTATTTTGAAATTTAGGCGCAGTCATAAGTTTTGATTTTAGTCGTAGTAAATACTACAAAAGAAAGAGAGAAAATATTTCTAATATCTACAAAATATCTTAACCTAATATTTGCACAGTTCATACTCATACTGATAAAAAATTAACGAAAGCGTAGTCAACGGTGACTCAGCTTCATACCTACTTTTATCAGAATAGGCGGTTAAATAGGACGTACAGTTTAGTTGATCTATCTATAAATATAATAAATTTAAAAAGAAAAATGACTTGTTGGCCATACTTGAAGATGAAATATTTGTTTTATTTTACCGTAGAAGGTCTATCTCCCATGCGCTGAGCTACAAATCGCAGCACAAGTCAGGACATCCACAGTTATACACACATTTTCAAATGACTTTCAGTCGAAGTATTTATTATCACGATCGAATTGGGCGAGAAAAAATCATCTTACTCATATTGACACAATGCTGTAGTGATGCTAACGCTCAGATGCAACTATTTGTGTTCAAAAGTTATTCGTGTTGCTTGTATTGAACTACAGGCGTACTGTTGTTTCTCTTTCTCTGTAACCTCGCAGTTATGTTGTAAATGAAAGCATCGTGTCTCGCTCATTACATCAGGAACCTCAGACTATGTTTAGCAGAGAAGAATCTTAGTTGCCTCATATGAGAATTACCTCGCGTTAGGCCAAGAGACTTTTTCAAAATAAATAATTGCTTTTTTAAACATATCTATATACATATATTAGGTTCTTTTTTGCTGAACTCAATAAAATTTATTTTCAAAATGCTTAATTTCAGTGATGTTTTGTCTTTAGTCTCCTCGAGTTCATGCATAATGATTGATGGTCGCTTTTATATAACTTTATTGGGACTGATGTTAAAATTAACTCCAAAATATACACAAACACGTGTTATAACCACTTGGAGATAAATTAATTAAGTAAGTCTTGTCTAATGAGCCCAAGTATTGATAACTTTTTAACATTCAAAAATGTATGTGTAGCACCTGAAAATCAAGCCTCGGCACATTATTTTGAACCAAGCAAAGTAGGAGTTCTTATCAGACCTTCTTTTCTAAAATTCGTAAAAAAAAAAATATAAATTAAAAAAAAAAAAATCTATCGGCTCAAGCTGGGTCCTACAATGGGGAAGTGCCAAGAAAAACAGTCTTATCTACATTGCAGTGGTTCAAAATTTCATTTCCTATTTTCTACCATTAATCTACCAACATCCCCACTCGAAAATTGTTGACATTTTTCTCACTCATATAAAGGTTATGTCCACAAAATTTTAAGTGAAAATGTTGCTTGGTTTCCTTCCGGAATATTGAAATAATAGATGAGATTTTAAAACACCGCAATGTGGATGTGACTATTTTACTTAACTCCATCCGATACGTCTGTCGCAGGCAACTAGTAAAATGTTCTTAGTTAAATTGAAATTTTGATTCTTTGCCTAATTTTAGGCAAAGTAATTATTTGCTCATCTAGAAAAGAGGTTTTTGTGAATAATGGTATCATACAATCGCAAATAAATTATACCTAGCCCCTAAACGATCCCTTGACTGGGGATTAAAGCATGTCATAAAATATCGAATTTTGAAAAAAATGCCGATTAAAATATTTGAGGGGCGTTTGGAGAGCAAAATACAGGAGAAGTTTGTAGATATGATGAATTCTTATATTCAATACACTGAAAACTCTAGAACTCGTCAAAAGCATACAAGACTTCACAAATCATCAAAATTGTATTATCTGCTCAGAGGGCTGATTATTGAAATTGATAGACAAAGCGACAGACAAAGAGATAACAGAGAAAATTTAACGATCCTATTGGTAGAAACGGGTGGTTGCAGAAGACAAAGGAGGTAAGTAATGGACTAACTAACGGCAACCTATGAAGATTCCTATAGTTTGTCCATCATTTTCCCCGTTTGTTTACAGCAGCCACTCATTTCAATCAAAAGGATAGCTCCATTTTCCTTCTGTCTCCTTTGTCTATTGCTTTGTCCATAAAATCCAAAAATAAACCCGCTGGCATTTGATAATAAGCCTAATTTGACAATCTGCCTACGACACGTCTAAATTCTGAGAGCCAAAAGGGTAATGGCGACCCAATACCTAACTGAGTTTCTTTGGTCAGAGCAGGAAATCAACAGCTTCTCCTCATTCTAGCAGATTCAAAGTGCTGTTGGTTTTCCTAAGTTGGGCTCTCCAGGGTATGATTTGAGCGGGGGTGTCTTGGTTCTCGTCGCTTTCCTCTTTGACCGGAGTTTTGGTGTCGTTTTGGTTCCCGGCCGGTTCGCTGTTCTCTTTATTGTTGTTGTCCTCCACTTGCGGCGCTTGTGCGGGACTGGCCGGCGTGTTGCTGTTGAGGTGCGGCGACGAGACTGCCTCCTCGTTGCACTTCTTGACCAGACTGTGAGGGAACTCGCAGGGGGGTGTGATGATTTTCGGGTGGATCGTAGGCACGCTCGTGTTCGATCTGGAAAATGGAACGAAATGAGGGAGGAAAAAGAATACAAAAAAAAAAAAAGATACAAAATAAAAACGTAAGATTTCTTCAAGGTCGATAGACCCAGGTCATTCCGTTAGAAAAGTTGAGTGTGATAATATCTGTAAATCAGGGGTGAGGGCTGTCCACGTTGCCAACAGATTCCCGCGATTTGCTTGTCCCACCCTGCTGTTCCCCTATCCTATCACATCGGTCTTATGCAGATCGGGGAGATCTGAGAGCAGGGCCGGATTAAGGGGGTGGCCACATGGGCCGCGGCCCATGGCGGCAAATCTAAAGGGGGCGGCAAATTTTGCAATTTTTTTAAATGTAGGTATAAAAAAAATCGGATTTAGAAAAAACAATTACAAACGAGAGAAGGCGACAAAATCTCTCATTTCCTGGGAGTATAATAATTTCTAATTTTGTCGTCTTTCAGAGATACAAGAGACGGCACCTTCAATTATTCAAGTTAAGAGAGAAACCAAATAGTTAAAACACGCAATTTGGCCCGGAACGGCGCGACTTAGAGAGAAATGATGACGAGGACTTGAGATGAAAAGGAGAGGCCCTCGGCGCGGCGATCGGCATGTGACACATAATAGCGCCTACAAGACTGCACGAATACTTCACGCATTGCATCAAACAGAGTGCGGTCATTGCGGTCAGCGTAAAACGGATAGCGCCTACAAGACCGCGTGAATACTTCACGCATTGCGCCAAACACGGTGCGGTCAGCGCGGCGCGGCGGCGGAAGTTAAAATCATTTATCCACATTTATGTTTGTTCTTTCATAATTTTTTCGTTCATTTCTTATGAATGGAAGACCTTGTCCACACTGACACAGGTTTACGGAACTTAACTTTCGCACAAAGTTTCGTGAACTTTTGCTAGTAGTGTTGACAGGGCTTTCGCAAAAAATGTGTCCAACACGAGTAAACGCGTCTTATGCACCCCTCCCTCGCTGGCACGTTCATTTGATGGTTTTTATTGATGTTTCAAAATGAATGAGAAGGGGGCGGCAAGTAGGTAAATCCGGCCCTATCGGGGAGGAACTATGAAATGGGACAGCGCAAACGAAAATCGGGGGAACGTTGGAGTGGAATAGCAGATCGGGGACATTCGTCGCCAGATCGGGAAATTCTATAGAACATCTTGCTAACGGACTCACCTGGGTCTTTCGACCATGGATTTCTTCACGGGATCAAAGTAGGCATGAGCGGAATATAAAAATGTTTAGTGGGGATCTGGAAAGAGGGATGAATGAAACGTGGAGAAGAATACAAGAATATCGCGTTATAGATTCATTTTACGGAGTATCGATGATCATTTAAGAGGCTTGGGGGACAATTAAGGCGCATAAGTGCAGTTTTTGGAAAAATTTAGATATTAACGATTTCAAGTAAAACTAATAGTGCATTTTCTGTGAAAAATTCGCTCCCAAATTCCAATTTTTAGGCATCAAAGATTTAGTTTAAACTTTCTTTCCGCCATAAGGATCCATTTGATTTTGGAACTTCAAACACGTATTTCCCGAAATAGCAAAAACTGACTTACGCGCCTTTTCCTCTAAGTCTTCATTTATTCCTCGCATGGAGATCTTATTCGAAAAAAGAAGGTTCCGTCGAGTAAGTCGGACTTGTCGGTACGCCTACTTTTCTGCAGCTGCGTTAAAGTCTCTGATGCGATTCCTGTATTTTGCCGTCTTGACGATCCTTCGATTGCCACCGGATCCGCGTGATTAAGCGCGATGAAACTTTTAAACAATGTTGTCTCCATGGGTCAAGCAACTCGCGTTTGTTGGTGCACCTACTTTTCTGCGCCGTGTTAAAGTCTCTTCGGGGACTCCTGCATTTTTATTCAATTTTAAAAGTCTTGGGTTTAAATTGAAACTGAAAGTATACTGAATTCAACAGCACAGTTAGTTTTTCTCCAGCACCGTTGGTTTGCGAGAAATTTAACAGGATACCTTGACAGATAACCCTCATATATTGCCACGCTCGAGTCGAAGATCGAATTTCGGAATCTCGGGAAATCAAAATTATTTATCGGGTTTATTCACTAGAGCTAAATTTTGGGGGAAAAGCCTCCTCTTGTGCTGTATTAAATTATTTTCACTGGCAGCAAGGCAAATCCGTTTATGAAAAATTACATGGCAAAATTGACGAAAAGATGGTGAAATTGAAGGATACGAAAATGAAAATGCTCAATTGAGAGCATTAAAAAATTAAAAACTTTTGACGCGATTTGAAGAAAAGTTGACAATTTTTACCCTAAAAAAAATGTATCCCTAAAAGGCGCAAAGGATTTGGGCCAATACTAACGAACGGTTTCTATTAATCTGACACACGGTGTCTTGAAAACTTACCTATCATTAGCTGCCCTGCTCTGTAAGAGCTGACGTTTCCATGCAGGAATGGCTTGGAGCCTTTTTTCTTCGGCCTCTCGAACCAGTTGCTCTTCTTTTTCTCTCCGCGCTTTTTCGGCGGCCTTTTTCGCCAACATTTGCCGCTTCCAAGGTGGAATAGGATTTCCGTTGCCGTCCTTCTCTGGAATCTGCAACATTCATACAAAAAGACATAATAATTAATGCAGGGGACTGATTCATGAAATTGATAGACTCGAAGAACTCAAAGAGAAAATTTAGCGATCCTATTGGTGGAAGCAAGTGGTTGCAAAAGACAGAGAAGGTATAGCCATACTGGCATCAGACTAACTACCGGCAACCCACGAGGGATCCTATAATTTGACCGCATTTAGCAGAAAAGAACCAATCCACATCAGCTAGTGCTATTTAATTGGAAAATTTAATTTTTCACATGTACCTAAACGGTTGTGCGGATTTTTATGCAAATTTCAGTGAATTTTCTGCATAGTGCAAAGCAAGTTCCTTTGAATTTTCAAAGGAATCCGCTTAAACGTTCTCCCGATGCCTGATGCGCACCTTTTCACAGATTTAATAAAAAAGTTATGAAAAGTATGTCTTATACAAGTAATGAAATAGGAAAACTCAATTTTTAGATGACCCTCGTATTTGAGGCTGAGGTAAATTCACTCTGGATCATGGCGTACTTATCCATCAACGAGTTCTTGGATGCATTCATGTAAAGTCCCCCAATTCCCAAGACGCGGTCGCTTCGAGACGAAAATACCTCTTCTACATGCCAACAAACTGCGATGCCTTTCTACTTAACGCGATACATCTATCATTTATCAGGCACGGCTGAACGAAGGTGCAAGGCTCATTTCGCTCCTTGACAACCACCGCCGCACAGTGGATCGAGTCAATTAGAGAGGTTGGACATGAAATCTTTTACTAAAACTGCAAATTTAGATGTTTAATTCGTCATATTTTAAATTTTGGGGGGTGCCTGTACAAGAAAATTTCGCAAGAAAACCAATGGAACCATTTTTAAAATCCCAAAGTTTTGCTTTAAGGGAGTTATAAGCGTTTAAAGTTTCCAAATTTTGTCCGACCTCCCCCATTGACTCGATCCACTGTGCGCGGCGTCTTTTACTCGCTCCACTGTGCGTCGCGCCGTTTTCCACGGTGATACGAGGATTTAATTAGATTGTGATCTAGTGAGCGTGTTGGACATTAGTCAGCCTCGTTTGCGATACTCACCTTTTCTACAAAAGCGTCTATGGAGAACTGACGGTTGATCTCCGAAATGGCCTCTTTCTCGCTTAACTTCTCCTGCTTGACTCGCTCGACTTTCATTTTCTTGATTCCGGTGATGTCTTTCGAGAGCTTGAGCTCGGCGATCAGATCTTCTTTGGCTGCTTTGAATGGCTGTTCAGTGCCTGTAATCAAACAAGGGGGTGATTATAAAATTTGTGCAAAGTATTTCGTGTGATGATGACGAGATTCGTTGAACAGCTTTCCTTCACACAATTTAATTAATCAATAAAGAATTTTTCATAATCACTATTTCTCGGCTCATACCTTTTGAATTATGGATAAAATAATTAATTCGAGTGTGATAAGGGGCCATTCATAAAATACGTAACGGTCTTAGAGGTAGGGGGTTCAAGAAGAGCGTTTTGCAGTTTTGTGTTTTTGTACTGAAGAATAGAGATATACGACAAGAAAACCTTGTGAAGGGAGGGAAAGGGGTTAAAAATCCGACATTCAGCGTTAAGCAGTGTTTGGGCCTTAACTCAAAATTTAGGTTATGACAAATTTTTGGATCAGGTGTGTTCATTCGGGAGCCCAATGAACACCTACTGGAGGAAAGTGCTCTAAAAAGTAGATGCGGCAGTTCACGAGGGGAAAAAACCTTTATTTCAGGGTACACAATTTCAATAGATTAATATTTGCCCGCGATGGGCCAAGAAATATACTTTTGAAATTTTGACGAAGAAAATGGTGTTCTGAAGTATAAGTTGCGAATGGTTAAAACCATTTTTACACCAATAGAAAGCGTTATATTGCGCTCTGTATGACGGAGATATGGAGGATATGCGTCGTGCTATTTTGCATTCAATTTTTGAGAAAGGCAAAAAACCGTCATGTTCCGGCGGCAGATAGGTTTTTTGCCGAGTTTAGGAAAACGCCGTATGAACCTTCAGGCGTTTCCAAATTTCCTGTGATAAAAAACGAATATGTAGGGAAAGTTGTACACATTCTTCCAATTTTTCAGATCATTTTGTTCTCAATTGAATATAAAATACCTGAAAATTACAAGGTAAAATATTCGTAACTTTCCTAAAAAATACGTATTTTATCCGGGGAAATTTGGCAACTCTAATAAATGCATACGTTACGGCGTTTTCTCTAAGCACAGCAATAATGCCGACAGTTTGTCTCTTCATGTACGCGTTTTTGCTCTCGAACCATCGAGGCAACCACGGCATGGCACATGAGGTGGGCGGTTCGCGGAAAGCTAGGAAATGTTCCTGAGCTTCCTAAGCGATGCGCGGAAGTTTCGCGAGGAAATGCGCATCGAACCCAGATTTCAATCGCCGTTGATTTTTTTCCCTTTTCGCGGCCGAGTTACTCGCCGCCGGCTAGAGAGAGGCTGGCGGAACGGTCCTCCGCGATACGGACTCCGTTCACGCAGGATCGATACTTTTCAATGGTTTCTTACGGAGGAATGTGTTCATGAATCGATTTTCGATACATCGGCTCGGTGGTAGCTACGATTTATGCTGCGCTGGTTCTAATGCGTAAGCTTCCGCAGATGGCGTTCAACTTATCTATTCATCGGTATACCTTCTTCTTCTTTTGTCATTTCGCATGCGTAGATTTTAAAGTGATTGAATAATACGAGCGTAACCGACTACATTTTGCAATATGGAACCATTGTGATATATATATGTAACATATTATTATGTTAGTTTTCCTGGGTACAGATATGGATGAACCGGAAGTATTATGGTTCTTCATCACAACTTACAGTTTAAGACTGCCGTGCTAAGCAAGAACGCCGTAAATCCATCAAGATTTTCCCCCGTTTTTTAGAACTTGACAGTTAATAAAATAAAAACTGTTTTACCCATGCACCTCAACTTTTCAGGTTAAGTTTCTAATAGTAGGCTGCCTTTTCATTAGTCTATTTGAGAGAGAAACCAAACACGCAATTTGGCCTGGAGCGGTGAGGCGCAAAGAGCAATGATGACGAGGACTTGAGATGAAAAGGAGCGGCCCTCGGCGCGGCAGTCGGCATGTGACACATATTAGCGCTTACAAGACTGCATGAATACTTTACGCATTGCGTCAAACACAGTGCGGTCAACAGCGGTCGCCGTGTAACGCATAGCGCCTACAAGACTACATGAATACTTCACGCATTGCGTCAAACACAGTGCAGTCAACAGCGGTCGCCGTGTAACGCATAGCGCCTACAAGACTACATGAATACTTCACGCATTGCGTCAAACACAGTGCGTTCAGCAGCGGTCGGCGTGGAAGGCATAGCGCCTACAAGAGTGTAGGAATACTTCACGCATTGCGCCAAACGCAGTGCGATCAGCACGGCGCGGCGGCGGTGGAAGTTAAAATTATTGAACCACATTTATGATTGTTCTTTCATAATTTTTTCGTTCATTTCTTATTAATGGAAGGGGAAGACATTGTCCACACTGACACAGGTTTACGGAACTTAACTTTCGCGCCAAGTTCCGTGAATTTTTGCTAGTAGTGTTGACGGGGCTTCCGCAAAAAATGTATCCAACACGAGTAAACGCGTCTTATGCATCCCTCTCCCTCCGGCACGTTCACTTGACGGTTTTCATTGATGTTTCAAAACGAATGAGATGGGAGCGGCAAAATACAGGCAGCCCATGGGCGGCAAGTAGGTAAATCCGGCCCTGTCTATCTCCCCCTTTTGATGTTTCCTATGCAGACAGATGCTTTAACGGCTGAGTCAATAATAGTAGATAGATCCTTATTGCAAATTGTAATCCACATATCTTGAAGTGTCTCACATGGGCCACTAGACAAGGTCTGAAGTAGAGGAAAACGTCAAATGTTTTCTCTTCAAAATCTAAAATGGAAAATAATTTACACGACGGGAAGTTTTGGAGTCAACTCCTGAACGGGATATTATTAAGTCTTTTCAACACACATCATATGGAAATTTGATTACACAAATAACGTCAGTTTTAATTTTGCCATTTAGCTAATGTTCATAGAAAACAATTTAAATCTTGTTTTGAAGTTGATTTTCAAACTTCCCGTTGTGTGATTCTTTCTCCTCGTAAAATGTTGAGGAAAGAATAAGTAGAGTTGTCCTATTATTTCATAGCATGTCTAGAGGCCCATTATCACCCTATTTGATGGTCCATTATGAACACTAAAAAAAAATCTCGGTGTATTTACCAAGAAAGGGGTAAAATTACCAAGAATTCAGAGTTCTATTTGATCCCAGTTTTTTCTTGGTAAAATTACCATTTATGGAATTGGTAATTTTACTAAGAAATCTCGGTAAAATTATAGAACTTTCTCGGTAATTTTACTGGACCTTGGTAAAAACGCCAATATTTTTTACCGACTGTGGTAGAATTACCGAGATAAAATGGCAAAGATACCGGGAATCGATTACCAATAAAAGTGGTATTCTTACCTGAAAAAAACGGTAAAAATACCGGTTTTTAGGTAAGCTTACCAGCCTGTCTTGGTAAAATTACCAATAATTGGTAAAAAAAGTGAGATGGTAAAGGTACCAACGGACCGTGGTAAAAACGCCGAGAATTTTTTTTAAAGTGTAGCATGTCTAGAGGCCCACTATCACCCTATTTGATGGTCCACTATGAAGGTCCTCCATTGAAGGAGTTGCAAAACTAGGATATCCCGATGAAGAGGGGCAAACTGGCAACTTGGCCGATTGGCCCCAGTGGCCCGATAATCGCCTGGCTCGTATGAAACTATTACGTTCACGTCTGACAGTTCATTATCACGGCAGCATCTCTCGTCCATGTTCACTGACTCCAGATCCGATGAGTGGGCAGACCAACATCGCGCAGATAATGGGTGAAAGTTCCGCGCCACGCACAAATCGAACCGGGCAAGGAAAATGGAGAGGAGAGCGAAGAAGTGTTGTGTCGCAACGGTGATGTCTTAACCGAGTCTTTGGAAATTATTCACTGTCTTTGGAGGGTGAAAGGGTTGGATAAGGATGATAGTATTCAGTTCTAACAAGCCTTCTTGGAGTATGTGAAATGTAGATGGCCACTACAGTGAAATCTCGCCAAGTCGGACAAGCGACCGAGAAAAATTTTGACATAAGCAGCGTCTTGTCCATTTTAACGCTTAGCACAAAATAAATTCGAAAATTCGAGTAGTGTGATTTCAAGTAATTTAAAAGTGGTATTTTCCAGTCTCTTTTACCAATTTTCAATGATTGATTAATTTTTAATTTTTTGAGTGAATTTTTAGGGTCCATTTTCTCTCAAAAAATCATCGATTCACGTCAAAAGTTAGTTATCTTGAACCTCTTACTTCTGTACATCCCTCAAAAGTGCATGTGCGTCATTAAAAACATCTTTATGAAACGTTCCTCTCTTTGACAGTCGCATGCAAAATCGAATTTTCGTCAAGTTTGCTCAAAAAAAAAAAAAAAAAAAAAAAAAAAAATATCCGATTTAAGCAACTTTCATTTTGCGACAAGAATCATGAATTTGTCTAAATCATGGGTTTTTTTTCAATTGCCCATTTTTGTGGTGTCTCAGGGCCTAAACAATTGTCAACTTAAGCAGGATTTCATCTTAATCGTAGTTTAGCCCAGCGAGATTTTACTGCAACTGTTTTAAGTACTTGCTTCTTGAACCTAGAGTTTTGCAGACAGCGTGCGGCCGTGCCACATGTCGCCACGGCGATATCGAATCCCTATCCTTTTTGAATGATTGGAGATAAATGCCTTTTGAAGGTGAAATAGTTAAACACAGAGAATCTTTTTAGTTCTAAAAAAACTTCCGGCGTGTTTGCTTAAATTAAAAAGGACACTACAGCTATTTTACGTGTCATTTAAACCGGGCTCTTGTGATATTTCCAATCAAATTTACTAAAACTTCTGAAACACATTATTTAATGATTGCCGCAATTACACGGACTTTCAAAATTGATTGACGGTTGGGCGACTTAAGAAGCTGAAAAATTAGGAACTTAAAAACTGGCTAAATGTGCACTTTTGAAACGATATTTTAAAGGCATAAGAAAAGCTCACAGTATGCTTGAGTGAACAGTAGCTGAGAAAACCCTTTGAATTATACCATGTTTTCCCGAGGAAAGTTTTTGTAATTTTCCCTTGAACCGGTCATCTTTTTTCCTTTTCCTGTAGACTTAACCGACAGGTGCGGAGAAC